AGGTGAGGAATTACGATTAAAATCGTAGATTTTTGACAAGTTTATCCTGGTTTTATCGCATCGATCGGAGAACTTCACGCTCTCAAAAGTTTAGAGCTTCTACTTGGCTCAAGTTCAGAATTTTCGGAATGCCTTGACAAAATACTTGTTAGAATCCTTCTGGACGTACTCTTTCGTGAGTTTAGGTTTTCCAAAGCGTCTTCTAATGCCTTGACATCTTTATTCATAAAATTTTAAAACTTTGTCGCCATCTTGGCACTCGGACCTACGAAAGGTTGGCATGGTTGATTTACACATGTGAAATTACAAATTAACGCTCAAATTTCACGCCAAAATTAAAGAGTAATTCGTCACCTTAGATATTATAACGATAATTCAGAGATGAAAATGAAAATCATTCAGGTTATAAATTTTAATATTTGTAAGAACCGGCTGCAAGAAGTGGCAAGTCACTCCCCCTTCCGTATTCAATATTTACGTGATAACTCCCCCGCCTCACATCTCCTCTTATATCCTCTACAAAGTAATTATTAGAATGCATGAAACATACTGATCATACGATTAGTTACTTTACATAACAACGGCATTACAAAATCAGCGAATCACGTAGAGCAGTGTACAGTTTTTCGTCCACTTCTTGTCTGTTGAACAGGAACTACTGCTGTCATCGCTAGTAATTCTTACATAATAAATTAAAATGAGTAGTAAGGGGGGACACTACGGTACAGACCAATCAGAAAGCCGGATTCGGGTCACGTGGTACAAATGGACCAATCAGCGTTCAGCAGTGATGACGTTGAGCTGTCAATCAAAGTTTTGCACGGGGGCGTGCAGTATTAGCCAATCAGGGCGTCGATGACGTCATGGGTGGGCGGACGTCATGAGGGTGATGACGTCATAGGGGTGATGACGTAATGTAAAAGTGACCTCATGGAGTGGGAACCTTGGGGGTGGGGTCCTGTTACCCTAACTCTAACCCTAAGGGCTCTTATATTTGAAGACGAACCTGAATTCTCATCCATGTGGGAACCCTAAGGGATGAAACAGGTAGTGAGGCGGCAGGACCAACCCGGACGATTGATGGCGCACGAGTCTATCCCAGTCTTCCGGCGTCTGGCAGGTAAACTGCGTGTGAATGACGGGATGGCCCACGGGGTACTGGCAGTTCTTATTGACCCACGGGTACAGGGACGTAAAATCGTTGTAGAAGATGTGTTGGTTCGGCTGGGCCTGACAGTGGGCTCGCAGGGTTTCGGTCCGTCCGCTGAAGAAGGGGAGGTGGGTTTAAATAGACCAGGGGGATTCCTGGCTCATTTCACTGCAATGGCCGATGAGTGACTTTGGGTCGCTTCATTCACTATCTGACCAAAGGGCTCATTGACCCTTGTTGTTCATGTTTGGTTCCTGTTCCGACACCGAAAGACTTAACCCAACATGGCGTCCCATTTGAAGATTGAAGGCAACCAGGCCAGATCTTATTGTTCCGTTCATAAGGGGGCTGACATTGCCAGAGGTACGTTGGAGAGAATCGTTCACCCTTACCCTGGACGGCATGCTCACACCTGGCCGCGAGCGCCTTGTCATTGTCTTTGGTTATTGTGCTCAGTCTTTGTGTTGGTGCATTCGGAACCGACCAACGTCCACTCGTTTTTGAAAAAGCGTGAGCGTGGAGGTCCTCACCCCGTGTTACAACATGCCGAGTGTTACCTCAATGACGGGTGGGTGTGCGATTGTCATTATTACGGGGTAGGCAAAGCTGCACCGCCCGACTCGGACTGAACTCTTTTTTTGCTTTATGTTGCAGACGGCGTACGCATCGAGAGCGAGAGTCTGGAGCAGTGCGCATGGATGTATGGTATGTTTTCGCACCACTGTTTGCCCAACCCCTCGTGGCACTTAACCCTGATGAAAAAGGAACTCCCCGCGCTCCTCCGATGTCTTACGACGGGCAATTCGGACAAGATCAGCAAGCGGCTGTTGGGCATTTTTTCCTACCCGAGCAAATATAATATGGAGACCAAGACCCTCCCGCCCCCGGAACCCATCGAGTTACGGGCCATGATCTGTTGCGGTTTGACCAAGGAGATGTTACCGTAACCGACGGCTATCAAAGTTCATCCCGCCTTCGATTTTTTGAAGATCTTACTCGAGGAAGCCGACATTGTCCCCGATGATGACATCCAAGTACGCCCCGTGTTTAAAGTCTATGGTCGGTGTGACCAGTGTCAGAAAATGTTGAGTGAATGCCCCACCCAAAAGGACGTGGGTTTGGGTCCCACGGAGGTGATGTACGTCATGATGCCGCCCGAATGGTCTGAACCGGTGGATTGGAACGCGTGTGATGAGGGATGCTTCTAACGAGCCTAGGACGGGAAACAAAGGGACAAACTTCAAGAGTGACGCTATGTAAAAAAAACATACTGAGATGTAAACACTGAAAACGTTTATTAGGTCACTAGAACTCTACTTTAGATACAACCTCTGCCTTTGTGAAAACAAGTCTTTGCCTCAATAAACCTGTTACAGTTTCAATTTCCGTTTGGCTTGCATGATTTTTTTGACGATGGCTTCGGTCCAGGTCTTTTTCCCCGGGAGGGTATTATGGCGCGAATCATCTTGTCGTCGGCTTTTCACTTGTCCTGGATATTGCGCGAACGAGAATAATCCATGTCATGTTGTTTGGCAATGCGGTCCAACCGGTTGATGCCGGGATCCCCGCGCTTCAGACGTTTCTCCAAATGGGTGCCAGGCCCAATGTATTGGTACCCCGGCCAATGAAATTCGATGCCTGTCTTGGCCAACCATTTTTGGACGTCCAATCCC